CACTCCCCCTGCCTCCGCAGGGCAGAGCGGTTTGGCACTGGGTATCGCGATCCCTCGCAGCGCAAGGAATTTCAGCTTGAGGCAAAGAAGGAGCGCCTGGCTGTGGAAGGTTTTGTGACGGGCATAGACATGTTCTCTGAGGTGAGGGCAGCGGCAGGATGGCTTTGGACTAGCGGTGCAGTTGTGGATTCAAGGCAGGGCAGGCGAGCATGGGGGCTGCGCGACTGTTTGGCGTCCTGAGCAGCAGCAGCAGCAGTGGCGGCGGCGGCGGCATCAGCAGCAGCACTAGCGGGGCGGCGGGGGCAGCGGGGGCAGGAGCGCCGCAGCAGCAAGCGAAGCAAGGCAGCGGAGGCGGCAGCAACAGCAGCAGCATCAAGTGTCAGCATTCTAAGGGGCTGGGTAGCAGGAACATGCACGCCAGTTTGCATGTCAGGCAGCCCAGCCTGTGTGCAAGTGTTGCCACGGACGACTCCGACACCCATCCCGCTGCGACCCGCAGGCAGAGAAGGCCAAGCGCGCAGCACGTGCTGCCAAATTTGGCCGGCAGCAGACCCTGGTGTATGCACCTGACCCCGAGGAAATGAGAAAGGCGGAGCGTGCGGCCAAGTTTGGGACCAGCTACCACGCAGACGGCGCTCTCATGGACATGGGTGAGGTGAAGATGGGCTGGAGAGCGTGCTGAGGGCAAGGGGAATGCATGAATGAGGCGTGATGTGGGTAGAGCAGCAGGTGGGTGTGTGTGTGTGTGTGTGTGTGTGTGTATGTGTGTGTGTGTGTGTATGTGTGTTTGCACGCGCGCATGCACACGGGTGCACATTCATATGCACGTGTGGGAGCGTATTATATGCGTGCGCGTTTGTGTGGGGGGCGGAGGGGGAAGGTGTTGCTTCCACAGGCCCCCTTATGGACCTACACGCATATTCACAAATACTCGGCATGTACTTGCGCCTACAAACCTAACCCTCCGCGCTCTCGTCCCACCACATCGACACCCATTTATCCGCCAGACTTGTTCGAGGAGCGCACCGACGCGCCGGTGGACGCTCCGCGCCGCCCTGACGCAGTCTACCTGTACGGCATTGACGTGATGAGCACGGCTGACGTGAAGGCCTACTTCGGGGACTATGGGCCGAAATTCGTGGAGTGGATAAACGACTCATCGTGTGGGTGACTGCCAGATGCGTGGCTGTGGTGGCCGTGTGTGGATCTTGGCAGGGCAGACCTTGACAGCAGGGGACATTGTACTTTGTGGCTCGAACGTTTGGTGAGCTTGGGGGTTGACAGGATGGGCTGGCGCGCACTGGCAATCAGAGCAGCAACCGTGTGCTCAACTGTGACCCTCAGATGCGTGTGACTGCTCGCGCATTGCCGTGCAGGCTGCGTGCTGTTTGCGGATGCGGCATCGGCGGCGCGTGCCATTGTGGGCACAGGTCATCCGCTGCCGCCAGAACAGCAGGCGCCGGACGCCAGCGGCCAAGCAGGTTTGTGGTGGTTAGCCGACCCTGCAGGTTCATATGTCAGCTGTGCGCAACCTAGTCAACACAGGGCGCCACCCAATCGTGCTCAATCGCAACGTCTGCACCTACTTGTACGGCCGCGGGCATCTTCAAAACCCAACTTGTTGCCACATCCCTACGTCGTTGTGTATTCCCTGGCACTCATTGACCACCCCACCTCACCGTAGTGCATACGCATGTCAAATTAGCATGCACGCTTGCACTCACATGTGCACACATACGTCTTGCCGGCAAATTCCAACCCTCCCATCCCCACCTTCTCCCCCATCCTGAATTTTGCACCTGCCCTGCAGGCCTTGACCCCACCTCAATAGAAAGCTTGCCCTACCTGTGGCACAAGGGCCGCGACTTCATGAAGGGAGGGACCCCTGTCACCCTCATGTACAGGTGGGGTCAGAGGGAATCGGAGGATAGGGCCCAGCAAAGGTGGGGGGATGGGTTTGAGGATCAAGAGGGTAGGTGGGCAGAAGTTGCAGGGGTTTGGGCAATGGCACGTTCCTGGCGGCGCTGACAGCGCAGCATCTTGGGATGTGGGTCGGTCTGCACCGGGCAAATACCCAAACACCGATCTCAGTCATAACCTCAACTCCCTGCGCTTGCAATGTTGCCCTACAGGATGGCGACGCTGGCTGACAAGAAGGACACGAGCGCCCCCCGCCGCAGCCGGTAAGCTCGCTCAAAGACAAGCAGGCCTGACAGCAAAGGCTGCTTGGCTGGCTGCTGCATATCTGTACCGAAATCGTGATGCAACTGCATAATTGCAATGCATTTCACAGTGGCTGCTGCTTGAAATGTGCAATCTGGCACAGGTACCTCTGGAAGGACACAGCCAGCGGCGGCAGCAGCCGTGGCGGGCGCCGCAAGCGCGCTCAGGCCGGTGACGACTATGATGGCGGCCAACACAGCCGCACCGGCGCCGGGGCCAACGGCGCAGGAGCCAGCGACGGCATGGACGGATACGAGGAGTATGGCGGCGACGACGGCAACGGCAGCGGTGGTGACGCGGCGATGCGGCGAGGCAGGGGCGAGCGTGGCGGGCAGCAGCTTCGGCGGCAGCGGCGAAAGCGTGTAAAGCAGATTGACGGCAGCTACCGGGACGTGGACATGCAGGATGCAGAGGGCAGTGATGCGGCAGTCGATGAGGGCGATGGCGGCGGTCAGGGCGCAGAAGGGGAAGGGGGGGACGGAGACGGGGGTTACGGCAG